GTACTATACAGACGTTTTACAAGGGTTACGGGAAAAAATTCGCAAAAAGAGACCAAAATTGTGGTGAGACAACTCATGGTTCTTGCACCGTGACAATACGCCCGCACACTCAGCCTTGTCAATTCGTCAAGTTTTGTGCCTAAAACCATAATACTGTCCTCTCTCACCCTCCTTACTCGCCAGACTTAGGATAGGTGTAAATTTAGTTAAATCAGGTGATTTTAATCGACGCGTTGTCGAAATCTAATTTAATCTGTTTGTTGATTATAATACAACTTGCTGGCATTGCCGCAACCGACGCTTGATTCCGACAGGTTTTCTTTAATTTCGCTCACTTTACAAGAAATTCTGTTTACATGACGAAAAAAAAAGAGGGACAAAAGAATTCAAAAGTATTTTACTTCCCGGTGCAAGCACGGGCTGATTACTGTTTTGAATGTCTAGATCGCGTTTTTATTGCATTACAGCGTCCTTTATTTTCCTGAGGGCAGCCATCATATCTACTAGTAGAACAAAGAATGACGAAATCGCATTAAGCACGACCGCCGCCGCGACGGAAAGGTAATGTTATTTTTAGACTGCAAAAAGAAATTCCCTTTTTTGCGCCCCGGACAATTCGCCGAGTGCCCCATTAAAAACATAATATTTTGAGAGGAAGGATTTAAGGAATTAGTGACGGCGATTACCAGCAGCTGAGATAAAGTATCGCGGAGCATATTGTTTCCACCTCGTTTAATGTCCGTACTCCGAAGGAATAATCAAAGTCGAGAGGGGGAGTTTTTAAGTGAGAGTGTCATTAAGCGGCGTGGTAACATCGGGCGTCAGCTTCGCGGGAGGGTGCTGGATGCTGACCTCCTGCATTATTCATAAGGAGTTATTTTAAATGGCATCTACAATACGTCATTTTAGATACAGGGTGTTTTATTTGCAATGCATTCGATGATGCACTACTTCGTTGTGTTTCTGGTTTCAAGAGTGTCTTGGAAATAGATTGTTAGACATACGCCATAGTTGTTTTGCGGTCACTTTGAGCCAAATACAAAAATTTATGTCCTCAGTCTAATTGATACAATATTTTTGCAGAAATTTCGCTTGTGATAAAAAAATAATAATTTAATCATGTTATTATACTTTACTTCAAATAGCTTGTTGAAATGAATATTTTAATTGCCAGTGTTGCGAGAAGCAACTACTCCGCAACAGCTAGGATCGTTCGTCATCAGTTTAACCCACCAGGCACAGACCGGTTTCGGACTTATTAATCCTCATCAGTGTGTCATAGATTCAATTCAATGCCAGTCGGGGCATATAACCCGCAGAGTAGTTGTTTCTCGCAACAGTGGCAATTAAAACATTGTGTTTCGCCCTCTGCGGGTGGCAGTCGTGCAACCAAGTACCTACAATATAGCAGGTCATTTCCTACTGTAGCCATTTGAATGGTACAATTGGGAGTTAGCACGACAGATAGAGTCATTTGTGCTCCGCGTACAATTGAAATGAATATGACATTTTAGTTTTCACTTATCGTATCAATGTACTTCGTGTAAAAAACCCAACAGAAATTATCGCAAAAATGCTAATTTTACAACAAAATTCAAAGATAAATAATAATTCAAACATACTTAAGAATAGGGCCATTGTTGGAAACACCGAGACAAACAAAAAACTATCACCATGAAGATGACACTGTGCTAGTTCCAAGTCAGTGAATGAATATCATACAATGTCAGTAAGGAGAAACTCAAAATACTTGGTCTGTTCAGAAAATAACTGAACTTGTTGCATTACGTGCTAATGGAGATTGATCTTTAGTGATATGCAGTTGGCAGCATTGCGTTGCACATAATCTCCTTTGTAATGACATGTTCTTGGATTATTGATATCTTATTTAGTTTTCGTGAGATTGTTATTTGAGTGTAATGTGTCTAAGTGTTAGTGTTAGTTAGTTCTGAAACAACGATGCAAAGTAAAATTTTTCGTGAAACTGGGGAAAACTTTCACGGAAACGTCTCAACTTTTGAAACAAGCTAACGAAGATGATCCCCTGGGTCGTACGCAATGTTACGAATGGTTTTCACGATTTAAAAGTGGTCGTCAGTCAATCGAAGATGATCTTCAATCAGGAAGGCCTTCGACTCCCACATTCAAAATGTCAAAGATCTAGTGCTGATTGACTGTCAGAGAAATGGCAGATTCATGCTATGAAATTGTGACTGGAAAATTGAACATGCATCGAGTTGCAGCAAAATTTGTTCCTCGTTTGATGACCGAACAACAAAAAGAAATCGTGTGAACGTTTGTTGGCAACTCCTTCAACAATCCAATGACGATGAAACATTCATTGGAAAGGTCACAATGGGAGGCGAAGGCTGGGTTTACGTTACGACATTGAGACAATACGTCAATCATCACAATGGATTGGCAGAGCATTTTCACGCTCCAAGAAAGCACGTCAGTCCCGATCCAATGTTAGAGTGATGCTTACTGTTTTTTTCGACTTCAATGAAATTGTGCATTTTGAATTCTTGCAAAATCCACAAAAACAGAGTTGTGGTGAAAAAAGTCATGGTTGTTGCACCATGACAATGTGCCCGTATACTCTTGCTTTGTCAATTCGTCAGTTTTGTGCCAAAAATCATATTACTGTCCTCCTTTATCCTTATTATACGCCAGACCTGGCTCCTTACGATTTTTTCTTATTTCCGAAATTAAAATCAGTACTAAAAGATCGCTGCTATCAGACTATTGATGACATCAAAGCAAATTCGTCACAGACTTTAAAGGTAATTTCAAATGAAACTATTTAGGACTGCATCGCGAAATAGAAACACTGCTGGGAAAAGTATGAAAAGTTAAGGGGAGTATTTTGAAGGAGACAAGGACCAAAAGTGTATAAAATTAATAATAACGTTTAAAAAAAATTAAGTTAGGTTATTTTCTGAACAGACCTCGTACATACATAGCAGTTGTGAAAAAAATTATGTCCTCGAACGAATCCACATTTTTCACTAAACGCATTGTTGCTTGGCAACATATGCCATATTTGAATGGGAAGAATCCTCATTTTAGAATAACATCCGGCGGCAATATTTCATAAAGTATGTAAATAACCTCCATATTGCCAGAACCCGTGACTATGCCCCGGTTAACATTGAATTACACCATCAATATCACTAAATATAGTGTAATAAAAGCAGATACATGTAATTTAAGAGGCGGTTTTCAGGAAGACTGGGACTCAATAGTTCTATTAGGCCTTCTAAGAAACAACCACTCTCAGACAAGGGTCAAGAAGTATAGGCGCTGTATATGTGATTAGAGGGTGGTCTGAAAAGCTTGTGTCGCGGGACTAATAAATTTACAAACCAGTAATTAGAACAAGACCATGAAATCCCAAAACGCTTTGGGCAAAGTAACTTCTTGAAAACGTATCGCCATATGACAGTCATCTGTTGTGTCCGGGGGGCGCCAGCCTAGTCTAGAATTAAATTAAGGTGTTAAATTGATAATTGGAAAAGAAAGATGTATGAAAAGCTGGTATTTCCGACGGGTTCATTTCCCAGCTATAAAACAATAGAATGATAAGATTGACCAGCCCGTCTCGTATCGCTTGTGGTAGGAGGTCACTAGAGGAAGGTGTACGATTACTTGTAAGTTCAGTTAGTCACAGAAATATTCATTCAAATGTAAGTCCAGTCAATTAGGTAATTGTTAACATAATATAGTTGTACCAAAACGTCCCAATATTTAGGGAGACCACCAATAAAATAAGAACTTCTGTACCCAAGAAATGGGCGTGTCGAAGCGAGGTGTCGAATTCAGAAGAGATCTCCGAAAAATACAGTTTCTCCTCCTAATTTTAGAGTCTTGGGTTAATTTAATCATTAATAAAGTCTTGTCAAATTTTGCTATGAATTCGCGTTGGGTTCTCTGAATCTCGGATTGCGTTGTCACCTTAAATTAATTAATAATGTTTGTTCGAATCTGTTGTCTTCGTTATTTTGTTTGTTTTGTTTTTATTATTATTAGAAACCTTCTTCGAAGTTTTGGTGTTTTATTGCTCTTCTAAATTAAGTGTCCATCGAGTGAGAGTGGAACACCCTTTACAAACAACACCTGGATTATACTCTACGTGAGCGAATTTCTAAGTTCCTACGTATCAATTAAAGTGTAGATAATAATTATAAACTACCTTTCGAGAAGTAAATGGTAAACTCTTTTGCAAATTAATATTATGATACTAATCATAACAGTAGATAGACAAATAAATAACCCCTTAGGGTACAATCGGTTTCGGACTAGTTAGCTCTCATCAGTCTGGCATAAGTGCGATAACCGACTAACGATGCAGCTACTTATATTTATTCTTTACAAATAAAATATGTAATTGAGAACTACATCCAGTGGTCAATCTAGTGTTTTATTATTTCATTTTCATTGGCTGATTTGTTTTATTGCGAATATGGCAATTTAGGAATTTGAATTTATTTCATACTGCAGAGAAGTAATGTTTTGTAAATTAATATACTTTTTCTTAATGCCATTTTATCTATAAAAAATTAATTATCTCTATTTCAAAATAAAATAAAAAAATGTCATGTTCTTTTTGTTTTCACTCATTTGCATTTCGATCGTCAATTTTATTCTTTCAATGAGGTTAAAAGCATTTGAACGAAAAAACAAAAGTATTTTTCATAAGTGTAATTGAGAATTATGAATTAAGTTTACAACTTTATTTAATTTCTAACCCTTTCAACTACTGCACTAAGGTTTAGGAATTTTTAGTCGATAGTGCTATCCATGCAATGTTGGTTGCCTACGCTCGACGATCGCGTGGTTTGTAATCATTTATGAATGTTCTGAACTATAGACGATATAAGAAGTGTTCAATTACTGAGCACATCTGTACTTTAGCAAATACACTGTTAATTTATAGACAACCGGGCACCGAACGCTCACGATTGGAACGTGGGGAACGGAGACGCGGAGTCGGTTCGTACCTGTCCAAGTGGAAGGCGGCAATCTCCGCGTTGTGGCGCTCGTAGTCCGTGAAGTAGAAGTGATTGGGAAGGGTCTGCTGCTCCCTGGGGAACCTGCAACAAAACATATTACGTTCAGGACGTGTCACTGTTAAGCACCGCGTTCGTAGAGCAAAAAAGTCCCGTTCCGACAACGGTCGGCCCTACTAACTGTCTATAGAGGATAATCCGTGGAACCGATAGCCGTTTTTCTATCGATTCGGGTAATAGTATTCTGCGGGCAAGAAATTGTAATTGGGACAAGAAAGCCGAAGCCTGCATACGTGGAATGGGTTAAATTGAATGGAAATATTAACAGTTTAGATTAAAGGATTACAAACGGATATTATACATGCTCGTAAAAATTAATAAAAACATCTGACATGATCCCCGTTTCTAGGAAAACTACTTATACTCCAGTCGAATTAGAGTTTGAACATGAAAAAAATTATTAGTAGACATTTCATTGCACTTTATGATGGATGTTTAGGCTATTGAATAGAGGATTTTAAAAGGAACTATGACGTTCAAGATATTTTATTACATGTGTTATTAAATTAGAGGGTGGAAATTCAGTTTTTTAATTGTAGCTCGAAAACGAAGCAAAATTTCGTTATAGTTCACAGGAAAAATTATTTAGAGAATTGAATTTCCCATGGAATTAGCTTATTTAAAAAATTTAAAAGGAAAATTTTATGCAAAAAAATCGTTAATAAACAATTTGAAAAAAGCAAAAAATTCGATTTTTCAAACTTTTTATTTATATGTGTGTGTGTGTGTGTGTGTGTGTGTGTGATTTTTCGATTTTCGTCGCGTTTACCCTTATACGTTATAATTCTCATTTTTTGCAAAAAAGGAAGAAAATAAGAAGGATTTTCATCACATGACTTGTTCGATGGGTCATTAAAAATGAAAAAAACGCGGGGTGCTATTAAATTAGAGGGTTGAAATTGAAGATAGGGGATGAAAATGCACTTTAGCAGTTTTTTAAATATAGCACGAAAACGAAGCAAAATTTCGGAATAGCTCATAGGAAAAATTTTGTAGAGAATAGAATTTCTCATCGAAATGGCTTATTTAAAAAATGTAACAGGAAAATTTTATGCAAAAGTTCGTTAATAAACAATTTTAAATAAAGTAAAAATAAGATTTTTTGATTTTTTAACTTTTTTAATAAAATAATTTAGTAAAGACATGAGAATTTAAGTACAATAAAGTTTATTAATAATGTATATACAGTGTGTCCACGGATGGAGTTGACAAAAGGAGAAACTCAAACTTCAATTTTTTGCATCATTTTTTGCAAAATATGAGAATAAGGGTAAACGCGATGAAAATCGGAAAATTGGCTAAGTTTGAGCGGCCTTATATCAGTTAATTTTCATTCAAAAATACTTTACAACCTCTTGTTTCGAAGGAAATTTTATCTACTTTTTTTCTATGAACCAATGCCTATACCTATATTTACTCAAAAAAAAAAAACTAGAGGCAAGAAAGTAAAAAAAATGAGAAAACGAATTTTTTGCTTTTTTTCAAATTGTTTATTAACGATTTTTTTGCATAAAATTTTCCTTTTAAATTTTTTAAATTTGCTATTTCCATGGGAAATTCAATTCTCTAAATAATTTTTCCTATGAACTATAGCGACATTTTGCTTCGTTTTCGAGCTACTATTAAAAAACTGAAAGGGGTGCATTTTCACCCCTATCTCCAATTTCCACCCTCTAATTTAATAGCACTCCGCGGTTTTTTCATCTATAATGACCCTTTGAACGATTCATGCAATAAAATTGCTTGAACGTCATAGTTCCTTCTAACCCTGTTTTTTGGATATATTCAATAGCCTAGTTATGTAGAAGGTTAATATCAAAAAAATAAGTGGCAAACTTACGTGTTTTTTTACTTTTTTTTACGGCCCACAAAAATCTAGACGACCCATGAGAAAATTTGTCATTTTATGTTGTTAAATTGTTGTGAAATTACCTACAATTTAGGGTACCCAAAGTTATATTTCACCAATTTGTTAATTGTAAAATGAAGATTAAACGTGGAAAAATCAGTTTTTGAAAATTGCTCATTAGGTAACTGGAAAAAGCGATGGATGCTGATGAAATTTATGGAAAAGACGGTCAATCCAAAGATCAATATGTGTGCCAAAGGCCGATTCGATTGATTCGATTAATTAAATTCGTCGTTTTTTGCAACTAATTGTTTAATTACTAAACGTTTATTTTAGAAATTAATATCGTAGACACAGGTTCTAATTGATTCAAAGAAAAATTTCAAAAAGTTAAAATCAAGTTGCCCTTTACAACTAACAAAGTAGGATGTGCAAAACAGCGTTATAAACAAATTGTCCCAGAGTTAGGCAAAAGCCACTCGGGAATTCGCTCTTTTTTCCATTAAACAGAGCTTATTTTTATTTTTTTCTTACGTTAATTGTTAATTAGCTATTGGACGTATTGGACCGGGATTTTAGAAAAAATTAAAGAAAGGGTTGAACTTTTATTTTCAGAATGTTTTACATTGATAGTTCACGTAATAAACGCGCTAGAAACTGTAAAAGTTGAACGTTTCAAATCTGGTTAAAAAAACTAGCGCGTGGCCGTAGGCAGCGATCATGCGCGTGCGCTGGCCCAGCGCTCCTACTCCCGCCTGCAGGCCGTTCATTATCGTTAACTTTTACTACTGCTAGCGCATTTATTACCAGAACTATCAATGTAAAACTTTTTGGAAATAAGAGTTTAACCCTTTCCTTTTTCCACTGTTTCTACTTAAATATCTTATCTAATAAACAGAGAAAAAATTAAAAGTAGATTCAAAATACCTAATTTCAAATAATAACTCAGCGGCTCTTAAAGAGAGTAATAGTGTAAATCTACAAACTTTAGTAATCCTGAAATGTCCTAGAAATACCAACTGCCACAACCGATTGTTCTTGTATGTGCCCCAAACCCAAAATTGTGGTTCAAATATGTCAACTTGAGCTATTTATATTTAAAAAAGCTATCAAAATTAAATTGTAGTATTTTAGACGAAAAAAATGGGTTATTGTGTAAGAAGCTCTTTAAAATATGTGAAAATTAATTCTCTGTAGAGTCAAATATGTTTCAAAGTTTAGTAATCGTTGAACAGTTTTATAATAAAAAAGTTCACGCACTGAGACTATCACATACTTTAAAAATATTAATATTTAATATAATGTAACTTGATTGTCAATCTGACATTTGTCGATTTTCGACTTTGCAAAAAGCTGTTTTACATTGACAATTTATTGATCAATTAATTGATGAAGTCGCTTCATAAAGAAATTGGACAAGTGTAATGCACCAAATCAGCTGTCAAATAACTTCATCAATTTATTCATCAAGTTGTTGAGGAATTGGAGCATGTTCTAATTTTCGTCAATTTATTCGTGAAGTTCGGAAGTACCAACCCAACAGATTTCCAGCCTCAGATCAGTAATGAGGTTATGTTATTGGAATATGTAAATAATTGTGTGGCGTCGTGCTAGTTTTGCATTGTAAAACTAGCACGAC